TCGTGACAGTCTTATTACCCCCCTGAACTTATGTTATAAATAATTTTTTACCCCTTTTCGGCCTACGTGGCACTAGATTGTAAAAACTGTTAACACATACTGTGCCCACAAGATAGTGTCATATAGGCTGAAAAGGGGTAAAAAAATTATTTATAAAATAAGTTTAGGGGGTAATAAGACCATAGTATAGTATAAGTGTGTCTTTGAGGTTTCGAGCATATGTTGAGGTGGTACTTGTGCATTTTCCCTATAAAGTTATTCTTCATTTTGTAATTTTTTCATTACAACCTTTAGAGTTGCCTTATCCTTGTACAATTGCTTCACTTTCACAATAGAAATATTTGTCTCTGATGTATAATTTTTCAACTCCATTCCAGGTATGTAATAGGAATAACCAATTTTTGATTTAGCAATGCTTAGAGTTTTTGGCGTTGCTTTTTCCACACTCAACACATACGATTGCACTCATTGTTGCATCGAAGTTTTGTATTTCCTCATCACTTTTATCCGGCATATCAATGCATAAAGGATACATACCGAATCTCACCTCATGTTTCTTAATTTCTATGTACAATTTCACCCCATATCATTCTGAATACACAATGAAGACGAAATACGATTCACGAACGAAATAAGATACACAATATATCGCTTGTATCTAACACCACATTTTCATAATTTAGAATATTCTTAAAAAATTAAAATATACATTACGAATTTTCATAGAATTGTGTTCCAAATTTTTTTTGAATCAAACTTCTATTGTTTGTTCGAAGAACATGGAGAAAGTTTTACAATTTGAAATATGAATTGAAATTTAAATTTTCTAATTCAGTTAGAGTTTTACGAACGACTGATTGATTGAAGAAAAAACGTACGTGTGATATGTGAACATTAATTATAATTTTTATTTTTAATTTCTTATTTAATGCATTAAACTGATAATTAATAACTTATTTATTAATATATTCCGTGCAATATTATGTATCCAAAAGACAAAAAAAAAAAGTTACAAAAATAAAAGCATATAAGAACCCATAGTTATGAGTCCAGCTAACCATTTCCCGCCATGTCGTCTCTTTCTCTCATCCTCAAACCTCTATCCATTCCTACATTTATTTCCGATAACCCAAACATCAAAACCTTCATATTCCAACGTAACATTCCACCGCCCTGTAAATCTCACTGCCATACCGAAAGGGGCCATCAATTCGATGTCGGCGACACCTTCTTCCGCAGTGAAAGCGCCACCGCCCGTGACCTCGGTGTTCTCTCCGCCGCCCTCTACCGGAATACCACTGGAAGTCTCCGGGTTCTCGACGCCATGTGCGGATGTGGAATTCGTTCTCTTCGATACTTAGCTGAGGCTGAGGCCGATTTCGTGGTGGCGAATGATGCAAATGAAAATACCAGGGATATTATTTTGGGAAATTTGTCTCGGGTCGCAAGTGGTTCTGAAGAAGGAAAAAGATGGGAGGTTAATCATTTGCCTGCCACTAGGTTACTGGCTGAGTGTTACTTGCGAAAAGATTATTTTGACCTTATTGATGTGGATTCTTTCGGTAGCGGTTCCAGTTACTTGCGAGTTGCCTTGGATGCTGTGAAATTGGGTGGCTTGCTATACATTACCTCCACCGATGGGCTTTCTTCTGGTGGTCATAGGCCTCAACAGTTGAGTTCTGCTTAAACTTATTGTTCCTTTGTTATTTTTATTTCTTTAATTTGCGTTTTCCCTCTTGAAACTCCGAAAAATGTCCATGTCAAATGTTTATTCGGGTTCAGAAGGGAGAAGTTCGCACCTATGATTGATTGATAAATCTTCATCACACCTGGTTTGATTACTCAGATGCGACTTAGGTAGAACTGCATAGTAAATGTTCAGGAAACTAATTTAAAACTATTCATAATTAGGCACTGGTATGACAGAAGTTTTTTGCAGAGGATATTTTCATTGGTAAGGATTTCTTTTGTGTTTGATAAAATCAGCTTGACTCATACTTATCATGTAGAAAATCAGAGACTAGGAATGGGAAAATTTTTCTTGCTTTCTATGCATTCAGCTGTAATGTATGTATGCAGAATACCTAAAGAGAAGAAAACAAAAGTATTCCTATACGTGTATGGAATCTGATCAGCTATCGCTACAATCCAATTTTGGACAGCTATGTATTTACTATTTTGTACAGAATTTGAATAAATCTGTCAAGGGAAATTTGGATTATTTGTTGCCTCATTTCTGTTTCTACTTGGCCCTTTCCTGTTTGTCCAAATCAGCTCTTCTAAATGAGCTTGGATGGTCAGGATTAAAATTTATATTGCTTGATCCAAAGGTTGTGAAACTTTCATCTCTTGAGCCACTTGAAGTGTCTAGACTATCTGCGAATTGAACAACTAATTGTGAAGCTCCATTGCAGCAAGAGTTTGATCAGTTATCTCTTCTTCGATGGTTGTTTGTTGACCTGTATCAACTTTGTCAATTTCGATTCCAACATCCCCCTTCAAGTTGGAGGGAAGTGAAACAAGACCCAACTTGCCGAGAATTGAATGATGAGATGGTCCCGATAAAGGTTTAGTGACAAGTCTGCAAGCTGAGAGGAAGAGGGGACGAGTTGAAGAGAAATCAAACCGTAAAGGAATTGTTGCCTAATAAAATGACAATCAATTTTTATATATTTGGTTCGTTCATGAAAAACAGGATTGCGAGCAATATGGATCGAGGCTAGGCTATCAGAATGAAGTGGAATCAGAACTAAAGGAGTGGCTCCAAGATCCGTGAGTTATAGAGTGAGCCAAGTGATCTCTGAAACAACTATAGACTTATACTCTGCCTCAACAGAGGATAAAGAAACAGATGCCTGCTTCCTTGATTTCCATGAGATTAGGGATCCTCCTAAGCTGATAAAGAATCCGCTGATTGATCTACGAGTGTTGGGGGCAAGAACCCCAATCTGCATCTCAAAAAGCAAGTAATTTGAATGAAGGATCAGGAGATAGGAAAATTCCTTGGCTTGGATTTGACCTGAGATATCGGAGTACTCTTAATGCAGCTGTAAAATGAGGTCCTCTTGGTTGTTGCATGTATTGACTTAGATGATGAACAGCAAAAGAGAGATCTGGCCTAGTGTGGATGAGATAAATTCAATTTTCCAAGGAGTCTCTGATAGGAAGTTGGATCAGTCAACAAACCACAAGTGAAGAAATCCAACTTCGAAGATGGATCGAGTGGAGAAGAGACTAGGGTAAATGATCACAATTGAACTCATTTAAAACCTCCAGAGTAAACTTTCCTTGACTTACTATTATTCCTGTTGGCTCCCGGAGGATTTCAAGTCCTAGAAAATAGTGTAAATTCCCAAATCTTTAAGCTTAAATTCTGAATGCAAGAACTTTTTAGCTGCACTAGTTCTGCTTCATTGTTTCCTGTTAGAATAATATCATCTACATAGACAGCTAGAATGGAGATATTAGTTCTTGATTTCTTGAAGAAAAGTGAGTAGTCATTGAGTGATGAGCAAAAACCTTTGAAATTTAAAGCTTCTGCGAATTTTGAGTACCATTGCCTTGATGTTTGTCTAAGTGCATATAAAGACTTCTTGAGTTTGCAAACATGTTGGGAACTAGGTGATTGCATTCCTATTGGAAACTTAATGAAATCTTCCTCATCAATTTTTCCATGTAAAAATGCATTAATGACATCTAGTTGTGAAATATTCCTTCCTTGCTTCACTGCTATAGTCAATAAGCACCTAATAGTTGTCATTTTGACAACCGGTGAATAAGTCTCACTAAAATCAGTACCTTCCTTCTGAATATCTTTCTAATCACCAATCTTGCTTTTAGCCTCTCCATACTTCCATCAAAATTATGCTTGATTTTGTAAACCCATTTGCATGGAAATGCTTTCCTTCCTTAATTCCATGACTTCCCAAGATTGATTCTCAAGGAGTGCTCTAATTTCATCTTCCATAGCTAATTTCCATCCCGGATGTAAAGCTGTCTGGGCATAAGAAGTTGGTTCTGTTATGTTTGAAATAGAGTTCAAGACTTGTTGATTTGTTGTGGATAGGCTAGCAAAAGAACAGCTTTTAGGGATAATAGGCCGACTGAAACAAGTATTGGTTAGATCTGTCAAAAGAACTGCATTGCAGACATACTCTTCTAAGTAGGTTGGTTCTAGTGTATTCTGTCTGACTTTCTTTGCGTGACTATGGAAGATGAAATATCTTGCGTCTCATGCAAGGTCACAGAGTCAACTCCTTCTGAGTTCCCTGTATCAACGTGTTGTGATTCAAATTCTGTTTCCAAATGTGATGTATTAGGCACCTCATTCATACTTTCACGTTCACGATTTTGAGGGTAAAAAGGATCTGATTCAATGTTCGGCAGAAAGTCAGTTTGTGAGATAGAATGTTCGGTGGTAAATATACGAGTTGGGAATGAGGTTTGTGAACTTGAGATGGTGGGAAAGGGTAAATATTTTCATGAAACTTGACATTACTGGAAACTATTATCTTTCTAGTATCTGAAACAAGCAATATATATCCCTTTTTTCCATGAGGATAGCCTATGAAGACACATGGAATGGCTCTGGGCTCAACTTTCCCCCTATTGTGCCCCACACCACAGTACTAGCATAGCATAGACAAACTAAAGCTCCTAAGATACGAGTAATTAGGAGGACTTCCAAATAGAACCTCATAGAGAGTTTTGTTTTTAAGGACTTTAGAGGGATATCGATTTATAAGGTATGTAGCAGTTTAGACACACTCTCCCCAATATGAAATAGGCAATTTAGATTGATGAAGTAGTGCCCTCGATACATCGAGAAGATGCTTGTGTTTTCTCTCCACAACACCATTTTGTTCTTGAGTATGAAGACAAATGGTTTGATGAGAAATACCTTGTGAAGCAAAAAATTCAGCTGACAGGTTGCTTCCACCCAATTCCAATGCATTGTCGGACCTGATTATCTAAACTTTGACGTTGAATTGTCTTTCAACCAACACCGGAAAATACTTTAAGACAGTGAAAACGTTACTTTTTGTTTTGTTTTAGAAGATGAGTCCAAGTTGCTCTACGATAGTCATCCACTATAGTTAAAAATATTTGTATCCATCATGAGAAAAAGTTTTGTACGCCCCCCAAGAGTCAATATGGATTAGTTTAAAGATCTTCTTAGAACTGATATTACTAGATTGAAAAGGTAACTTGGATTGTCTTGCTAAGGTATATATATTGCAATTAGAATTAAAATAAAGAGGAGAATCAAGAACTGAACAAATATTCTTCATTAATGAAATGACATATGCCCCAATCTAAGGCGACACAGCCTTACATCAGAAGCATTCTTTACGGGAACTGAAAAAGTGCTTGAAACAGAAAGACATCTAGATTTTTCTTGATTGCACAAATTAACTGATGTGCAGACGGAACTCTTAAGGTACTGGAAACTTGACTCTAGGAGATATAGCCCTGCTCTTGCTTTACCAAATGCTAGAGGCCTCTTTATTGAATGGCCCTGCAGAAAACAACCAAAAGAGGAAAAAATGAGTAAGCAACTTAACCATTTACACGACTTGTAGACTGAAATGAGGTTATATTTGAAACATGGATGATGGAACAAATAAGAAATCTTTCAAATGAGTTTAGTATGTAAAGGGACACTTCCAACTTGAGTAACCTTGACCCTATGAGAATTAGGAAGATCAACAAATACACGAGTCTTAAGAGTATTGAGTTCTAAGAAGATCTTTGTATCAAAACACATATGTTGAATAGCACCTGAATCCAATATCCAGGTTCTTTGATTTAAATTAATAACTTTATGAGGTATTTTATTGAAAACCTTACCAGCACAAGTCACTGCATTGGCTGAAGCATCACCAGTTGAACCTTCTGATTGATTCACCCTCACATTCTGAAGCATATGAATCAGTTGTGAATATTGATCCTGGGTGAAATGTTGTCCCCGTCCTTCTCCATTAAAATGTGCTCCATTTTGTCCTTGTGTTCTTTCTATGTAAGCAACATTGCTCTTCACACTTCCCTGGAACCTCTTTGTCTTAGTAAACTTGAAAACACTTGGAAAACCTATTATCTTATAGCATTTATCCACATAATGCCCAGGTTTCTTACAGTGAGAATAAATAATGGTGGTTTTTTTTCCTTTGGAGTTTGGACTCATAATATCCAGATCTTTGACCAAGAGTGTTCTGATTTGTGGCCAAGAAAGAAGCAGAGTTTCCTGGATAGTGTGTGCTCATATACACCTCCCTTTTTTTTTCATCTTGCATTAGGAGCGAGTATGCATGATTCACAGAGGGTAAAGGTGAGAGCATCAATATGTTACTCTTTCCAGCAGCATAGACATCATTCAAACCCATAAGAAATTGGATCAATCTCTCGTCTTGAATAAACTTGGCCATTTTTCGTTTTCCACCATATTGGCAGTCACATAAGCAATTGATAGAACTGTTCAAAGCATCAAGCTCATCCAGAGACTTTTGATCTTTGTGAAATAGCCAGCAATATCATTTGGACCCTGCACCAAGTCACTCAACTCCTTTTGCAGGTGATAGATTTGTGTTTCATTGGACTGGCCAAATTTGTCCTCAAGTTCTTTCCATAGATCCTTGGTTGTCTTGGAGTAGATAACACTGTCAGCTATCTCTTTTGAAAGAGAGTTGAGCATCCATGACAGGACCATGTCATTGCGTCTGTTCCATAGCTTGAAATCTGGTGATATCGAAGTTGGTTCTTTGTGAGTACCATCAATGAACCCAACCTTATTCTTAGCTGAAAGAGCTATCAAGATTGATCTCCTCCATCCACCATAACCTTTCCCATTAAAGGGTGAGTTAACAAGATTCATTCCTGGAGAATCTGAAGCATGAAGATAGAAAGGATGAGTGTGATCAGTTTAGAGTTCCAGTGCCTGTAGAGCTACCAGAAGTGGGATCTGTTGTTGTCACCATTGTTGAACTGAGAGATGGAGAGTAGGGATGAAGAAAAGGGAAGAAGAGGCAACAATGAGATGACATTCTCAAGGTTGCTCTGATACCATGTAGAAAATCAGAGACTAAGAATGGGAAAAATTTTCTTGCTTTCTATTCATTCAACTGTAATGTATATATAGAGAATACCTAAAGAGAAGAAAACAAAAGTATTCCCGTACGTGTATGGAATCTGATTGGCTATCACTACAATCCAATTTTGGACAGCTATGTATGTACTATTTTGTACAGAATTTGAATAAGGCATAATACATAAATATGCCCTTTAACTTGGGTTCAAATCATATTTATGCCCTTCAACTTTGGGTGTGCATAAGTAGACACTTAAACTTGTATAAAGTTGAACAAATAGACACACATGTCTTACATGTCATTTGTGGTGTCCTACGTGTACTTTGTCATTTAGGACTCATGTGTTTATTTATTTAAAAGTTGGATAGTGAAAGTCTGTTTGTGAATTATGAAAGTTGGAGGTCAAAGTTAAAATTTAAAGCCAAGTTTAGGGTCCAATATATGTATTATACCTTTGAATAAATCTGTCAAGGGAAATTTGGATTATTTTTTGCCTCATTTCTGCTTCCACTTGTCCCTTTCCTGTTTGTCCAAATCAGCTCTTCTAAATGAGTTTGGATGGTTAGGATTAAAATTTATATTGCTTGATCCAAAGGTTGTGAAACTTTCATCTCTTGAGCCACTTGAAGTGTAGACTATCTGAGAATCGAACAACTGATTGTGTTTGTCTCTGATTTTCCTTTGATTGTGAAGCTTCATTGCAGCAAGAGCTTGATCAGTCTGATGACCTGTATCAACTTTGTCAATTTCAATTCCAACATATCAAATTTTAGAAACAAAAGGGAGAACTGTTTTAGGCTCAGTATGGAGTTACTTGTGGACTATAGTGCAATAGCTATTTCCAAGTAGTTGTTTAAATTTACTGACTCCTGTCTTTGTGCTGGGATGATCATAAAACTCATTCTTTCTTTGTAGGTCCTTAGCTGCCTATGGAGCATATGTTCGGCCTTTGCCGTACTCAAATGAGATAGGTCTCCGGATGCTTATAGGTGGAGCTGTTAGAGAGGCTTCAGTTCTTGGTTATCATGTTGTTCCACTTTTCTCATACTACTCATATCATGGGCCTGTGTTTAGAGTGTTGCTACAAGTCAAGCGTGGAAAGTCTCTGTCTAGCAGGTCGGTTGTGGACTTTAACGGAGTTATTTCATTAGTACTTGGTGATGATGCCTTAGCTTCTCATGACAGGTATTATGGTTTTATCAGCTATTGCAACCGATGTGGGAACACTCGAGCATTTTCCTGGAATGAACTTGGTGAGATCAGCTGCCCTTGTAGTACAAATGTATGCTTTCGTACCTCATAGGATATTGATTTTGGTATTTTGCATCAAGAACTATTTAGGGCGTACTTATCCATCATCAAATTATTTGACATTGACATGTGCAATGCCACTAACTTCCATTCCTAACCCCTTTTTTTAATTGTCATAATATCTTGCATAAGATTTTACTCCGATCATGTCAGTAAATGTATAGTAGCCTGGGGGGATCCATGTGGAGGGTTGTGGGTTCACATGCACCCATGCTCTCGTCGTTAGATTATTTATAACAATGCTACATCTCTTCAAAATGATTTAAGAATATATATGTGCACACAAGCTCAAAGACCTATGGTGCAATGGTTATTTGGTGCACCTCTACAAGTGAGATCAAGAGTTCGAATCCCATGTCCTACTTGTTTTTTCTGCATGGGGATGGGCATGTCTGGTGTCCCTCTTGTTTTTAATTAACTGCTTTTTCTCTTCTTCTTTTTTTTGTCTGGTTTATTCCTTCTACACGTCTGACACATTGAAATCCTCATTTACCTTTTGTTAGTGTAGTCTTCTTAAAATTAAATCAAATGTCAATATTAAAACTAGTAGCAACAGAGGATGATGCATATAGTCAATAGGTTTAACTGATCCCAACCTTTTTTATTATGGAGTACAGATATATTGTGGAAAGTTACTAAAATGAGTGGTTCAACAGTAAGAACCACAAGGTTGGAACTAACCAGATATAAATCCTTGGATTCGCCCCTGATAGTAACCCTATAAATGAGTGGAATTGTGTGTGCACATAGTCAAACAAAATTATCATCAGGCTCACGCCTAAGCGTGTCACTTCTTTTCAGGTTAAGCGTTCAATTGTAGTTTCAGGACCCCTCTGGACTGGGCCTCTTCACAGTGCTCCCCATTTAACAGAAATGATGAGTTTGGCTGATCAGTGGGGATGGTTTGGTGATGAAGAAGGAAAAAACCTAGAAAAGCTATTGAAACAGATGATTGACGAGAGTGACCCCAAACTGCCAGTTGGATACCTCAATGCAGATGAGGTTTTACTAAACAATTTTTCTTTACTATTATTTCTTATTATCAGAATAATTTACTTAAAATGTTTGGGACCATCAGCAATTTCCATTTTTTTGCATTATTTTAGTTAATGATTGTTTTTACCCTATTCTGAACTTCAATTTATGTTTTATCACTTGCAGATAGCAAGTCGGGCTAAACTTAACTTGCCTCCCCTTAGTGTGATAATGAACAGCCTGCACGAGGTATGTCATTAGTGTAGGTATTACATGGAGAGTTTAGTGTTCTTTCTCTTTAATCAAAAGTTACTTTTCCATATTGAGCGTAAATATAACGGTTTCATTTATTCCGCAACAGTTAGGTCCCTTTTTTACAATATTTAAGATTTGTAGAAAGATAGTCTGACGCGCTTGACCTTGTAAACTGTAATTGGTGTTGGCCACTACAAAATGTAAAAGAAATATGAAAGAGTCGTTTAGGTAGGTATTGAAATATTTGACCAGTGTCTCTATGGCCTTCTTCAGCTAAAAGACCCCTTAGAGTTTGATTTAGAGCAGAACACTTTACTAGTCCAAAACAAATTGAACAAAACAGTGGTCGCAGCGAGCAACTCGCCCGCTGACAGAAACACAATCTACTTCCTAAATACCTTTAGTAGAATATAAAAATAGTTACTACCTTTGTTTCAATGAGCTTGTCTTACTTTCTAGTCGGTTTAAAAAAGAATTACTTTTTTTTTGGACAACTCTTTAATTCTTACATTCAGCATGGCATGTTTAAGACCACAAGATTAAAAGACATTTTGGTACATTCTATTATCTTTAAAATAGGACTAATAGATTCAAAAATATCTTTTACTTTCTTAAACCCAAACTCCGTGTCAAGTGAAAACTACACAAACAAAGTGACATGAGGATTAAGTAGTAAATATTGAATTTATTAACTTTGATGCATATGAAAGCTTCTTCAAATGATTCAGCGTTTGGTGTTTTTTTTTTTTGGCCAAAAACAAATCCAAAACCGGATTCTCCTGAAGCTAAATATCAAAGCTGCTTGTTTCTGAACCCTTACACCACCACATGTTATTCCTCTCTATCCAGATACACCAATAAATAGTTGCTGGGATCATTTTCCAGATCGTTTTATGGCCTAATCAACTCTCCAATAAAACCAGCACTCATACTTTCCTTCTTTATTTGTACATACATTTTGATATTAGACTAAAATTTGTTGATGGAAATGAAATTCATTGAATGAACGTATTAACATGTTAGGCCAGACAACAACATGTAAAGCTAGGAAAGAAAACTTTGAATAGTTTTGAAGTTTAACCAGCCTTAGATGAGCATAATGATGTTTTCCTACCAAATATTAGGGAAAATGCTTGTTTATGAAAGTATTTAATACCAAGTTTATAGTTTCATGGAACTTAAAGGGCGTATTTGGTGTTTTCTTGAAAAATAAGTGGGTGTCTTACTTATTTTCTAGTGTTTGGTAAATAAGCAAAAAAATATAGTCCCAAGAGCATTTATATGTAATCCAGTAAAACACTATGGACGGAGGGGGAGGGGGGGGGGGCGCTCAAGTGTGGTGGGATGAGACAATAGACTTGGAATGCCACTTATGGAACTTGTTTTCTCTACTTCCATTATGGAATTCGTTTTCCTCATTTGTTAAAGAACTTGTTTTCCTAGAGAAAATATTATCCAAAACATTTTGACCGACCAAACATGGGAAAGTTGGAAGACATTTTCCAGAAGATGTTTTCTCCATACCAAGCTCATCTCCTATACATTAGACTAGATGTTTTGGACTTCAGGTAGCAATTTGTTTTTTTATGGAGTAACCTATAATCCCTGTTAATAGTACCGCTACTGTTTTGGACATCGTTAGTTCCCTGGTCTCAAGTACATTTCGCTCATGTATTGGTAGCTAGCTACCACATCTCATTTGTACTTGTTGCATTTGGTTGATGCCTTGTAAATGAAATTATTTTACTACATTTATAAAAAAAAAAAAAAGGCAAAATAACTTTTGTATTTATATGCAATTTTCAATAATTTTAATTCGTGGAGCATTATAGAACCCATGGACTATTTGTGATCGGGGTTTGATTATCTTAATATGATGTAGGTTGATTACAATCTTGAATTGACATATGTTTACTTGAGTAAGTACCTCCAAGAGTATATAGTGTTTGCTGCGACTTGCTTTGAGATTCTACAGATCTTTTCAATTAGTTATGAACCTTTTCAATAAATTCAAATAAATAAAATACGAGAACATTAAATTGAACTGTTTTGAATTTGAATTCCTAATGCACAGCTGACATTTAAAGCTTAGTCATGAAGTATTTGAAGTACAAGAAATATTTGTTTTTAAAAGTTCTCCTCTTAATAATAAACTCAACTATAATTTGTGGCACCACTTTAGTGCTCACTTCAGAAAAATTACACCCTTTATAATAAGTGTATTTTTTGAAAATGGTAACATCATATACAAATCAACTTATCAACCACAATATATTTGTTGTATCTCAATATGCTAAATCATATTTAATATAATTCTGTGAAATGCTTATTCATACAAAAATGTTAGTCAATTTTAAATAACCTGAACATAAAAAAGTTAATGTTCAATAACATATGACTACTTTTTTAATTTAAACTCAACGTTTTTAAACTTTAATAGGAACTTATATTTAGAGTAAAATAGGCATCGTGTGCAATGGCCTTAACACACAATCTGTAGGAGTAAACTGCCATATAATCATTTAGGTGGGTTGAACGGGTTGTGCAGGACGTCTTTTATTCAGGCTTTGGGAGCAAAGATGTTTTTAGCTCACAAGTAAATGATGTTTTTGCATGGGTTCTCTCCCTCGGGTGATTTTATGCCAATATCGCCTGTTCTGTGCCAAGTGTATCTGTGAATAAACCTCCATTATTATTATTATGCTAATATTATCTTATTTACTGCTTTTGTTTCTGTTACTAGTTATCTTCACTATTTTTGCCGTCAGTACTTTTCTTTCTTTAATATTTTCATCTTTACACTTGCATTTCTTTCAAAACCTACTTCTGGAAAATGATTTCTCAAGTCGACGGCCTTTTAGAAAAGCCTCTCTACCCACAAAACCCTCCCCTAACCTCATTTGTGGAACTATACTGAGGATGTTGTTGGGTTTTCTTATTCATGTGCCTAAACATTGCTGATGGAGCAGTTGCATTATTGCATCAGTGAACTTTAAGCATAATCTCCTTGACATCTGCGCCCTTAGATTTATTACTTGTTACAAGCGTTAGACATAAGATTAACATCATCAAGGGTTTTATTGCAGGGAGGTTATGCTGTTAGCAGATCCCATATTGCCCCAAATGCGATTAAAACAGACTGCCCCATGGTTGTATGTGTGAAGATTGTGAAGCATCTCCAACAGGCTGCTGAAATGAGCTCGTGCCATTAAAGTTCGTTCGATGAAGGGGAGTCATTACTGTTGCAAAAGGCTTGAAAAAATCAGTGATTCCACGTTGTGCATGCACCTGCTTCCACGGGAGCAATTCAGAAATTTGGAGGTTGCTGATCCACCCCTAGTTTTGGTTTAACTAGGCAGAGTTATGCTAAGTTTAGCGTATCATGTTTTTGACCCCAGCTTGGGTGTATAAAGAAATATGTAACACTTGGGTGAAAGTTGAGAACGTATTTAGCTCTTGTTGGAGAAAAAAAAGTGTGTGAAATGAATATGGACGATTTACATAGCCAATGCAACTACATTGAGATTAAGGTGTTTGTTGCTCATGTAGTTTTGTAAAGTAGATCCATTTAGAATCAGCTGCAATTAACATCATTACATCAGGATCAATTAGGTCAGCTATGTAGTAACATTACCACCTTGGAACTAAGGTTGCAATAGTATGGAGCGCGGTGATAGTAGTATACAGGCTTATTCTGAATATCGACACAGGAGAGACGCAGATGTTCAGTAAAATCAGCTACGAACTTCAACCTGTTACTATATTTGCATGAACTGGATGTCCAAGAAACTGAGTCACAACTCACGAGATAAAAAGTAGTTTTATTTGGGATCCATACATCGATTACATCAACCAGCAACTAAAACTTGAGAAAAATAGGTTGCTCGTGTCACTCAGCTATTATTTCACATCATAAGCTTTTACAAACATGGTCCCTGTTCAGGGGCACTCATTTTCGTAAACATCATTGGCATATTTCCAGTTGATAACTTTCCATATATTCTTCAGGTAATCTGGTCTTACATTTTTGTACTGCATTACAAAAAAGCAAAGCGAATCAGTCAAGTTCAATAATAATTCTAATATTTGGATGAAAACTACCAACTTAATAAAAATGGCTTTTGAAAACATCTCTGTCCATAAACTATGACAAAAGACAAGAAGCTCTTCAAAAAATTCATGCATAGAAGCTCATTCACCCTTATTATTAAACCTTTTTTTCAGTTCTGTGCAACATACAAAGGTCAAAAGCATATAGTTAACTCCACCAACAAGTAAAGAGAAAATCTTGGCTTGCAAGAAGTAGCAACGTCAATCATGCTTTGGAAAAAAAACATTGGTAGTATCACGAATATTATCACAACATTGTAGACACATGATATTTGGGTACTAAAGACTGAAACAGAATAATCAAATCACCTGCAAGTAGTATGCGTGTTCCCAAACGTCTATACCCAGAAGAGGTACCAAATTTGCTCCTTTAGAAACCAAAGGGTCCTGCAAGAACAAAATAATCCCAAAAATGAGCCCTATCATAATTCATAAGACAACCTGACAAGCAACTATTGCGAAAGCATATGCCAACATTCTTATACATTCCTCTGTATAAAAAGGATTGTCAAAAAAGATAAAAAATAAGACCCATCTACAGTTAAAGCCGGACAGTATGATGTAGACTGCAGAATACTGACAGACCAAGGAGGTCGGGAAATGCAAATAATCCTAAAGGACCGGTTAGAGAAGTTCATTAACCAAAGAGGAAAACTCAGAGTCTCAGACCGAGCAAAGACAGCATCAATTAACATAAAAAATACATCTATCAATTATGGCAGCTAATAATAAATGGAAGTCAGATTATTTAGTCTACAGCTCTAAGACTTGTAAGCAATCAAGAATTTAGCAGTTTTATGTATTTTGTTTTCACACTTTCTTGGGTAATATTAACCTCTAAGTCAAGGCAACAAAGTGGAGGCATCAGCTTCACTTGTTGAAGATGATGCTCAGCTATCTATTAATTTAGGATAAACAGAACATGCATCAATCACCTGATTTGCAGTGGTTTCAACCACCAGGCGCTTAAGCTCTTTGTCCACACCAAGCCACTGCAAACATATATTCAAGCTCAATAAATAAATAAAAGGTACAATCCAAAGCTTGATTTGCAGCAACATAAGCTGACCAACAAAACCCCAAGAAAAGGAAGCGAGACCTACCACCCAGCCAGAGCCCTGTAAAGCAGCACCTTCTGCGTTCATCTTTTTTACTAAAGCTTCCAGTGAACCAAAGTTAGTGTCAATAGCCCAGCCAAGAGAACCCTTTGGAGGCTCCCCACCACCTTCCTGCAATATGATTAAGCAGTTATGTTATTCCCCCTCAAAGCAGAACAATCAAGTAATGAGGGAGTAAGCTTACGCTGACAGGGGCAAGGTTATTCCAGAAAATTGAGTGATTAATATGACCTGTGTGAAAAGTTGAAAAAATAAAATCGTCAACTTGGATATAAGAAAGACTACTCATGAAATCAACACAAACAATTCGTTGACAACTGGTTGTTTGGCCACATCAATGGATTTCAGGCATGGATGCAAATCAAGTGCAACTTGTTAAAGAAATGAACCTTGGGCCTAATTCACTCCAAAAACTAGCTCTGGAGGTAAGAATTGCCCAAGTCATATAGTCCCCCATCCCCTAGCCAATGTGGGAGACTCAACACAAGTTGCAAGAGGAAGTGCAGAACCAACATACTTCTGGGATGATAATCAGCATATTAGTTTGTGACAATCTGAGGTTTATCTTTTGGACCACCAAAGTTGTAACTAATTACTGTATATCTACGGATTTCTCATTATCCAGAAAAGCAAAAAGACCATTTCAGCAGTCAACTGACATCATTACCACAACCAGAATTTGTATTTAGAAAAATATCAGCCATCGGCCATGATGATTCATTCAATCAGACCTCAAGAGGGTCCAAAATTGGACTCCTCCTAATTTCTTCTCATTGAACTGAGATAATTAATTCCACCGAGAGTAATACACCATCAAATTAAAGAACCACCTAGTCCGTTTTAATACTAGGAAGATCAATCTCTCAAATCCAGTTCAATTCAAATCCAATTAATCTCAAACAAATGCAATAACACAATCAATCAATCAAATTCAACAAACCATAGCAACGGACAAAGTGTAAAAAAGCGAAGTGTCTAGAACCTCCTCAAATAAATTCAAATCAATGAATTATTCAGTAAAAAACAAAAGAGAGAGAGAAATGGAGATACCTCCGCCGTTAAATTTGAGGGCACTGTGCAATTTGGCGACGGCAGGAGCATCTCCTTTGGAGATGGCATCATGGAGCTGTTCAAGGGCCTTATTGTAATTAGTGATGTAAGTCTGATGATGCTTCTGGTGGTGGAGCTGCATTATATCACCGCTAATTGCCGGCTCCAGGGCGCCATAGTCGTATGGGAGATCGGGGAGCGAAAAGGTTTGAACGCCACGAAGTTGTTGGCGGAACCCTAGCCCTGCCGCTAAGGTCCGTCTGCTCACTAAAGTCCGAAGAGCCATTTTCGATTATTTTTAATTTCTAAATGCTTCTAGTAGAGAGATGTGGTGGAAATGATTCTGCCAGCCAGGCCAGGTCGTTTAATACTTGAGGGTGGAGAAGTGGAGATAGCTTATGGAGCTCACGACACCTGTAATCTTGACTAAGAGTCTGTTTGGCTCAGTTTAAAAGCTGGTCAAACTGATTTAAAAGCTGGTATTGACGACTCTACTTGTATTGTAACGACCTGTTTAGTCGTTTTGAGCAGCAGATTTTATTCTGGAAAAACAGGCTGAGGCGACGGACCCAACGACGGACCGTCATGGGCACGACGGACCGTCGCAGGGTCTCGTTTCAAAACACTTAGAAAATCTGAAATTGGGTACTGAAAATCGACTCTCTGAACTTCGTAACGGAGTGGCAGGACGGACCGTCACAGGCCATTCACCCAAAATCAAGTTTCTGAACTATGCGCCCGGACAGCAGGACGGACCGTCGCAGGCGCGACGGCCCGTCACAGTTTGCATAATCCCAGTTGGAGTCGGATTTCTGGTTAAGTTTTAAAGGGGCGTTTTGGACTATTCCTGCTATAATTATATATTTTGTGGGTTTATATTAATAACTCAAATTCTTGGGGGTTAAAAGAGGTAACCTTAAGTTAATTCCGTGGGGTATTATTGCCATCTTTTATTCTTAATTATATACTAATTAGGGTAAAAGAAAGAGGGTTTGAATAAGAAAACAGAAAGAACAAGAAGGGAGAGGGAGAACCGATCGAGAGAAGAGGAAAGCACCAAGCTTTGAGGATTAACTTTCTTGATTTCAATTCTTCGGTGGAGGTAGGTTATGGTTTTCATGCTATTCGTAGTAAACTCTTAAAAGCGAATGATATGTGTTAGTAGTATTGTAAACCTTCTATATGCTTAATTGTATGCTTGCATGAATAATGTGAATATGTAATTGTGAATAAATAAGCATGATGAAGCTATTGAATCCCAAATCTTGAAAAGAAACCCTAATCTACTTTGTTAATGATGATGCCTTGGTATAAAAGAAGGCTTGATGAACGAAAGTGGTGAGATTAGGGGATCGGGTGCCATATTCCGGTACCAGGATAGAATATGGATCGGGTGTCACGTTCCGACACCAGGATAGAACATGGATCGGGTGCCACGTTCCGGTGCCAGGATAGAATGAGGATCGGAGTGTCACGTTCCGACACCAGGATAGAATATGGATCGGGTGTCACGTTCTGGTACCAGGATAGTATATGAGGATCGGAGTGTCACGTTCCGACACCAGGATAAAATATGGATCGGGTGCCACGTTCCGGTACCAGGATAGAATGAGGATCGGAGTGTCACGTTCCGACACCAGGATAGTATATTGAGGAGCGGAGTGTCACGTACCGACACGAGGGGAATGAAGATAATGAATCTTGG